TCGTGTAGGTCTGGACTGGGCAAGCTCCATGGCAGATATTCTTCGAGCTTTGAACTCTTCTGCGCAGTGGCATAATGTGATCGCTGCCTTCACTGACCATTGCATTAAGCAACTACCCTTCCAGCTAAAACACACCAATATCTTCACTTTATTGGTGCTGGTTGGGTTTCCTGAGGTAAGTGGCCTGTTGATAGGAAAGGAAAATAAATCGATTAAAGCTTTTAGGTTTCTATTTTTAAATACTACAGATTTCATCAATTGGGGAGAACCCAATCATCAAAACCCGGTGTATGTCAGAGTTCACATCTTTCCACTTGCGCACAATTTTTATCTAATGAAGAAAATTACAGCTGGTTTTGCTTTGCATTTCTTTCAGTATTACTCATAACAGTAATAAGAAAACCAGCTTAGTATATCTGAATATCAAAAAGGGTGTGTGTGTGTGTGTGTGTTTGTTGAACAAGTGAAAGAAAGTGGTAGTCATAACTCTGATATACTTAGCATTAAGTTTGTAGTAGGTATTTCATTATAAAAACCAGCAGTTTGTCTCTAAAGACCAGTAAATGTCTTGCAGCAAGCAGATTGTACTGCTAACAGATATAGTACTGAGTGTAACCAAAATGTAAGCAATATAAAAGGTGATGTTGTCTGTTTAAATAAATATTCCAAATCATAACTGAAACTGCTTCTGCATTTTCAGGTGCTGTGTATGGGGACTCGTTCTGTGTACATGGATAATGCTAATGAGCCTCATAATGTGATCATCCTGAAGCACTTCACTGAAAAAAACAGAGCAGTTGTGGTAGACATCAAAACCCGAAAGAGGAAAACAGGTTCTGTGACATTATTATTTTATCAAAGAATTGCAGAGTATTTCCTTACAATTTCTTACGGGTAGCCAAAAGCGGATGTTTTAAACAGACCACTTGATACAGGTGTGCAGAGATTGTGTTCCTTTATTTGCAAGTCACCTGATTTTCTGTTCATAAGTTAAATCAAATTGTGAGCTTCTGCAATACTGATTATGGAGACCTCTTTATTTGATTTAACTTTGGAATTTTATTCAGAAGGTTTATGAAACAGCACTGACCATTTTATTATATGAGGAGTCTGAGAAATAGTGCTTTGTTTAAACAGCTGTTTTGAGATTTGCTTACTGCTTGTGTCTTGTCTACTCTATATGTGTGCTTGATGTTTTGAAATAATTGAAAATTTGAAAAATGCACGTGCTGCTGCTGTGTAGTCAAGTACCACAGTTTAAAGGAATGGTGCTCAGGGCCTAGACACGTTTGGGGTAGTCCCTTCTGTTGCTCCAAAAATACTCTGTTATAAAGTGTTTGTTCCCAGTGTGGGCAGGATGTGCTAAACCACTAGCAAATGAAGGGGCAAAACAAACACACGCACATGCCCATAAGTGACTGATTGCTTATGAAAGGGTGCTAGGTTTGTTTTTTGTTCCTAATCCTGCAGAAAAGCATGCCAGAAGGACAGGGCTAACTTTAATCAAGTGTTTTATAAAATGTCAGGAGCATCTTTATTGCTTTCTTCCTTTTCGAAGCATTTTGGATATGGCTAGAGGAGATAAATGTAAAAAGTGTTCTACAGAATGAAATAATATATTCTCCCAGGAAAGTGTCTGGATACATCAGGGTGCATCAGTAGAGCATGTTTGGCTATTATGGTATCTAAACACTGTTTAAAACAAACAAAAAAAAAGAAACAAACAGAAAACAACCAAATGCTGCTTCTGGTCATTGTACCGGAGGATTTTTTTTTTCCTGCACTTCACCTGTTTTTAAAATATAGCATGTTCTTCTTTGTACACTGAACTGTTCGTATGCAAATATGCACAATCAATCAGCTGCTGCCAGAAGCTGTTACCTGGTTGTTACTTTTTTAATTTGCAGGAAAAGATAAAAATGTTTTCTTAAATTATTTCCATTTCATTAAATAGCTGAGTACAAAGCCAGAATTTTGCCAGAGCAAACATTCATGTCCTCCAGTAGGTGGTTCTCTTTTAATACAGTTATTAGAATGTATGTTCACATACTTATCATGTTCTTTTCTTTCTTGTAGTGAAAGACTATCAGCTGGTTCAGAAATGTGGCCAAGAAAGCAGCGATTCCCAGACCCAGCTCAGGCAGTACCTGCAGCACTTTGTGCTTATCTCCAGTCACCTTCTGCAAACCAGCATGGACAGTAGCTACGCAGAGGCAGTGGAAGCAACCTGGGTCTTGTCACTCGCTCTAAAGGGACTTTACAGAACCCTTAAGGTATCTTTTCCATGACATGTAGTATATGAAGTTCTGCCATTTATATTACCCAGCACAAGAGGGACTTGGGCGTTGACCAAGCCCACTGGGGAACTAGCATGTTGTTGTTGATACAGTGACCCTGTTTGAGCAGGGAATTGGAGTAAATAATCTGCAGTCCCTTCCAACCTCAAATATTCTGTGATTCTGTGATGCTCTTAAAGTATATAAAGAGGTGATCTGTGTTTTTTTAGGGAAATAAAGGAAAAGAAAGTGCTATAGCATAGGCTTGAATTTCATTTGAGGCCATGTGAATAAGGCTGTTGCAAGATTTATGATGCACTTTTATTTATGTTGTGCATGTGTCTTTGATAGACTCATGGATTTAAAGAAATCCAAGCTGCTTTTCTTCAGTCTGGTTTACTCAAGCTTCTGGTGAAGAAATGCAGCAAAGGAACTGGCTTCAGCAAGACCTGGCTTCTCAGGGACCTAGAGGTAAGGGAATAGCAATATTTTATAGAAAGTCAAGCTGCAGAGCCTTTCACTGGCATGAAAGGTTGAGCATTGAGTTTTTATTTTGTGAAGAGAGTCTCAAAAATATTTCCAAGTAGTCTTTACAAAAGAGTTCATTTGCTGCCTTTCTCTGTCCATCATAATTATGTAAATAATAGTCCATTAAGGCAGGAGTTGATTTTTATTTGTTCTGCTTGTATTTGAAAGGAGTCTACAAGACAAGCATTATTTGCCTACTTAGTTTTGTTTATGAATTTTATTCAGATTGTTCTAGAAAATGCTGTTCTTGAATTTTAAAAATCATACTAATTGATCTCAAAAATATTAGTTGTGTTTTGCAGCTACTGGCACATACAAGTTGTTACTGCAGTGTAGTATGGGAAGTCCAATGTACTTTTGGGTATCTCCTCTCTGAATGCTTGTTGATTGCTGGAAGATTAAATGGGGTTCAACTGTTGTGTTTTATGGCAGGCAGGAGTTGTGGTATTAATCTGTACTTAGGACTGTAGCAAAGGTGAGAGAAAAGGGGGAAAAAATGGAATGCCTCTTAAAAGGAATGCTGAAAATGACTGTACATGGAAATATTGCAAGATCAGATCTGGAACGTGGTATCTTCTGCATTGAAGCCAAAGAACTCGTCCTGACCCAGGAATGCATCCCAGCTTGCTCCCTTTCATGCAGCCTCGTGTCAAATTGATGTTCTGCCCCGAGCACTAAAATATCTCACCATAAATATCTGTATTAATCCTCCGTATTGAGATGGCTGCATATTGGAAGACCAAGGAAGGGGTAACATTATTGTTCTCAGTGTTGGCCAGACTGAATCCAAAGGTGTATTTTCAAAGGAGATAAGTGCAAATGTTCCACTAAAATGCTGATCATAGATATACTAATCTCTACAGCTACTATAACATTTGCTACCTTTTTTTCTGTGTAGATTTTGTCAATAATGTTGTATTCATCAAAGAAAGAGATCAGTTCCCTGGCTGAGCGTGAGGATACTGAGCTGGAAGAACGGGAACAAGAGCAAGATGTGGAGCAACCCACTGTTGGTCCCACTGATTTAGAGCAGAACAAACTTGACCCTCTGGAAGGTCTGGATGAAGCCACCAAAATATGCTTCTTGGTACTTAAACTTATTTTTCCCTCCTTGGAAGTTTAAATTTACTGGTAAACTTACTAGTTGTATAAAATATTTGGGAGTTTATAAGGCTACTTTTCTTCTAAACTTACAGAATATGAGGCTGCAATTTCAGCGGATTGTTATTTGAAGGAAATGAACTTCATACCAGGATGGCAGTAATGAGCACTGCAAAATGATTATTAAGCTTTTTGCTAAATTACATTTTATTCTTACTAACCAGGCACCATGAAATTCATTAATTCTATGCTCATATGATAAACAGAGGAAATAATACCTACTTTAAAGAAACTTGCTCTTCTCTTTCAATGACATCTTTATATGTATATATTTTTCCCCCTTCCTGCTCAGATGACACATGATGCACTTAATGCACCTCTCCATATTCTTCGAGCCATGTATGAGCTGCAAATGAAAAGAACAGATTCTTTTTTCCTGGAAGTTCAAAAGAGGTAGGTGAAAGGCTGAGTTCAGCACAAAGGCGGAGTTAGGTCCAGGTGGTAATTTTAAATCTAACAGGTGTCAAATAGAAGTTGTTCCAAAGATGACTTGTTTTGCACATGTGAAAAAGCAAGGAAGTGAAGCCTTGCTGAGTTTTAGCTGAAGTTATGGAAACAAGTCACCATCTTTTGAAATAGGTTGCATGTTCTTTTGAATACAGTAACTCACAAACGTCCCATCTACTCTGTTTCTAAACATCCTGAGGATGAGTGAAGAGCTTACCTGTGACTTGTGGGAATCAAAGCATATCTTGGAGCCGCTGTTCGTACAGGGATTGAGCAGTTCTATAGTGTATAAAACTAATTTGTTAGAGTGTGAAGTATGACAAAAATAGATAGTGCGTAATGAATCTTTCTACCCTCAAGGTGGGACAGTTTTCAAGGCAAATTTAATTTGCCTTAATTTTAAAATGCATTTGTATGAGGGGATATCTTTTTTCTTTTTTTTCTGTTAAAGGTTTGATGGAGATGTAATTACAACAGATGAGAGGATCCGAACATTGGCTCAGAAGTGGCAGCCCAGCAAGCGCCTGAGGTTGGAGGAACAGAGTTCAAAAGCAGTTGATACAGACATGATCATCTTACCATGTTTGGTGCGTAGATCTCCAGAAGAGAAGTAATTTTGAAATAATGAATTTAGTCATTAGATTAATTTCACTTTTGTTTAGCATCTTTAAATCTGAGGCTTTTTAACATCTGAAATAATTTGTAGCTTATGTCTTATTTCAAAAGGAATGAACCTTTGCAGCAAGAAGCAAGTAGCCTTCCTTGTAATTTCTTCCTTAATGAAATAGCGGAACTCAGTGCTTAGATCAGGATAGCAAAGTGTGATTGCATGCTATAATTTCCTCTACTTATACAAAAGCGATTCTGTCTAATTACAATAAATGTGTGCAGTAAGTTCTGCTGTTACAATAATTTCAGAAAAGCAAGGAAGCCATGAATTTGTCTTGCAAAGTAGAAAGGTAGTTAGAGTGAGAAGAGAAACTGAAGTTGAGGTTTTGCAATCAATGGCACAGCTGCACAGCTTTTTGCCTTTACTTCAAGTGTTTATTCCTAGCCATGGGGCGTCAGCAGCTCAGTTGTTTTATTTGCACAGAAGGCTGGACCAAGGGCTTCCTGATGTAATTAAATGTAGTTATGGAACAAAAATTCACGCATTACAACATGGAGATTGTTGCGTTTGGAAATACTCCAGACTCGACTGGACCAGGCCTTGAGGAACCTAATGTTGTTTTTAAGTTGCCTTGAATTCTGAGTGGGGATTTGGGCCAAATAATCTCCAAAGGTCCATCTCAGACTACCTCATTTGGTGAATCTGCTTTAGGGTCACAAACAGCATGGCACCATGTTGCTTTACCTCTCTGGTTTAGCTTAAACTAATACTTGGGGTTAGAATCAGTTCTAACTACAGTTTCTGTTGGTGAATGTAGAATTGGTGTTTAGACCAGCAGACTTAACTATAGATTGATACATTCAGTCTTCTCTGAGAAGTTCTGTCCCTCTATGTGCATGAAAGATCACAGCATGTGCTTTGTGATGCATCTGATTATCTGTAAGGACAAATTGACTTGTGAATCCAGCTTGCAATCTGATGGGTTAGTCAGTCAGATGTCTAAACACAGGAAAGCAAGTTGTTGAAAGACTGTTCTCACACATGCATCTCTTTTTTTTTCCTTTTCTTTTTTCTGCAGTCAAAGCCTGTGCTGTGTGATAAAGCAACAGAAGAAACCAATCCAGTGGCTCAGAAACTAATAACCAACACAGAGAGTGATCTGCAGCTTAGCTATGCCAAGCAGCGTCGCACTAAGAGCTCGATACTCTTGCACAAGGAGCTGGATTCCAGAAGCAAAAAGGCTGTCAGGGACTACCTGTATCGTGTGAATGAAGCAACTGCTGTTCTTTATGCCAGGCATGTGCTGGCATCGTTGTTAGCCGAGTGGCCGGATGACGTGGCAATAAATGAGGAAATCCTCGATCTCAGTGGCCCAGCCCATATGACATACATACTCGACATGCTTATGCAGCTAGAGGAAAAGCAGTTATGGGAAAAAGTAAGTGGATTGCACTCGTGTGTGAACAAATTCTGTGCCTGTGTGCCATGAACCTCTGGCTTACAAAAATACTTGCAGTTCTTTTTTAAGCTCGATTGAAGTTACAAAATTTAAATCAGTTTGGAAAAAGCAGTTAGAATTTGTCAGTGTCTTAGTATGCTGGTTTTGTTAACCAAAAATGAAAAAAACAGTTCCTTAGAGACAGCTAAGGATTATGAAATCTTTGTACTTTGGCAGGAGGGGATAGAACTTGCAGAGAAGCTGATAGAATAGGCAGTGCACTTTGAAAGCTGCTTTTTGTTAGATCTCAGTGTGTACATTGTAAATACCTGCCACTCGATTGATGAGATCTGAGCTGACCATTACAATGGTGGAAGAGAACTGGAATTATAAAAGACTGTTATATGAAAGTGTCAGCTCGGCGCTTCATGACAGTCAAAGCAAATCAAGTGCTGGCAATCTTCAAGGAAGGAATTAAAAATAAAACAGAAAGCAGAAGTATGCTGTGGTATAAACCCATAGTGTCCGTTCATCTGGAGTGCAGCCTGAGGCCCTCATCTCATAAAAAAAGATAGAGTGCAGCTGGAAGGGGTCTGCAGAAGAGTGACAGTGATTATTATAACTTCCGTATGAGGAACCAGCCGGTTTTCATGATCCTGGATCTTTGCCCCAGCTGGGAGGGAGGGAATAATAAGGAAGTCTGACACTCCTCTGTAGTTTTAAGACCATGAACAGCAAGGACGAGGCAGACAGCAACACTGCTGGCCCTCCCTGTAAGAAAACAAGGGAATGTCAAATTAATGTAGTAAGTGGTGGGTCCAAAGCAAACCAAAACCATCTGTTTCTTGACACGCTGCATCATTAATGTTGTTGCCGCAGGGTGTTTATACAGGTTCGAAAAATTGTAGGATGAACTGATGAAACACAAATCTGTTAAGACATGTTAAATACAACAGTGTATTAAGCCTTTGACTTAGGTGATTTTGCAAGTGTCAAGAGGCAAAGAGAGCATCAGGGAAATGTGCTAGTACTTTGTTTTTTTAATGCTCCTTTCCCCCAAGAAATCCCCTTCTGGCTGGTTTAGAGATAGGGCATTAGGCTGGTGGAGTCTGTGGTTTGAGCTAGTATGGCTGATCTTACAGCTTGTAGAAGGTGTTAGAAAATTGCAGGTGAAAAGATGCAATACGTTGCTATAACTACCTGTAAAGGGCCTTCAGCAACATGACTCTAGATTAAGGACTTTTGTGCCCTCCTGCAAAACAAGGAAAAGGCTTTCATCTGCCAACAGAGCTAATATTGTTCTGAAATTCTTATTTAGTGTGTCCTAGTAGACCGAATGGCATTTATTTGTATTTGTACAGATTTATAATGACATTTGTATCGAGCTCTTTTAAATGCTGCAGCCATTTAACGGATATGTGATCACTCCTTTTTATATAGGAACTTGTGCAATTTGAAGGCTGAAATATATTAGACGTTCTCTTCAAGTCAAAACCCGTAGATACAGAAGGTTAAGGTGTCTGTTTAATTTGCTAGCAAAGTTCTTCTGATTAAAATTATATTCCTTGTTTACAGCTTCAATTTCCTGTGAATTACTTTATGGATTCGCCTGTAGTCTAGCATCTGTGGGAAGAGATGTGGCTAATAACTCTCAAATTTATTTTTTTAATCACTTAAAATCTGAAAGGTCTGAAGCAGAGGACTGAATAAAATCCTCTGGGAGATAACACTTGCAAACAGTATTTGTGAGTTTGTCTTGTTGCTTCATAGCAACTTGATTTCTGTCTGCTGAAATGATCTGTGGCTGGAAGTAGCTCTTAGCCATCAACATATAAGTTTGCAAATGCTGTTTTGGCAGAAGATGATGTTTGTGGTGTGTCTTCTCTGCAGATTCTGCAGAAAGTGCTGCATGGATGCAGCGAGAGCATGCTAGGAACCATGGCGCTGACAGCTTGCCAGTTCATGGAGGAACCTGGAATGGCTGTCCAGATGCGTGAATCTAAACATCCTTATAATAACAACACTAATTTTGAGGTGAGTTATGCATCTCTCAGTGCAGTGGAAAATAGAGGAAGAAGGTAGTGAAGACTATTTGGAAAGTCTCACAGTTATTCCTGTCTAATCTCTGGGACTTTGGTGCTTGAAGCACCTGTCAGATATCCCATTCTGTCTTGCTTTTGAGAAGGGTGTTGCCAGGTGACTGAGGTCTTGCCCTGCAGAGAGAGGCTCAGAAGGGCACTTCAGTGCACTCCCGATTCAAACGTGTGACAAGTCTGCATCTTAAAAGGGTTTATTATGCACATATGTAAAGCTGACCATAACCTTAAATGGTTTCAGGGCCTCAATAAGCAAAAATGTCCTCTCTTTCCTACAGGAATGTGTTTCAATTGGCCTCTTAACTTTCTCATAGTGTTAGAGGAATGCTAGGAGCAAAGCGAATCCTTTTTGTGTATTTCTCATTTGAAACTAACTTCTCCCAAAACAAACTTTTTATTTTTTTCCTTGATATTGGTTGAAAGCATTTTTCTAAAGATGCACATGCAAATCAACTGTGGAAAACAGTTGCTGCTTCTGGGTGTAAATTCAGGATATTCTGGAATGGTGTCATCTCTCCCATGTCTCGTGGCAGGCAGAGACTGAAGATCTCAGAATGGACTCACAAATGGGATTAAAAAAGAATGGCTCTCTGTCTGCTGGTCTCCAGATTTTACGGTGTTTTGGGGATTTTTAACTTTTTCCGATCTTTGATTCTTTCACATTTTTATTTTGATGTGTTTGTGAAGCTTTAAGATCTGTCCTTGAGATCAATATCAGGAATTATCACAGTTTTCCAAAAAAGGAAAGTACTGTTAATAAATATCTTTTTGCACTCTTAATCTGTAATACAAACGAATAGGGCACACTTTGCCTTCGTTAAACCAGTTTGTAGTAAGACTAATGAGGTTTTTCTTCATGGAGACGCTGTAATACTTGTTATACCTCACTTATTTGTAGGGTGAAAGTTAAGTAGCTTCTGGTTAATACAGTACGACAGCCAACACACATCTGCTGTTTCCTTCTCAGGATAAAGTGCACATTCCTGGTGCTATCTACCTCTCCATCAAGTTTGACTCTCAGTGTAATACGGAAGAAGGTTGTGATGAGTTACTCATGTCCAGCAGCAGCGACTTCCAGCAGGATCGGCACAGCTTCAGCGGGTCTCCGCAGAAATGGACCGATTTTGAGCTGCCAGGTGAATATATAAAGTTTTAAAGCACAAATACATAGGGAATTGCTTTATCTGGGACTCTTGAGAGGAGCTCCTGAGAGGTGTTAAATGGTCATGTTTGAGATGCATGGAAAAACTCCTTTTTTTGTCCTAATCTGCTTGCTTTGACAGACTGCTCTGCTGTTTGTTCCTTGAAAGTGGGCTTATCTGCTCTTCTGGTACTTGACATATCTCATATTGCTTTACTTCTGACCTTTTCTTCCCCACCTCAGTCAAAGCAGCCACTTTGCTACTGGAAACAAATTTTGATCTTGATTTTCTTCCAACACAGCTCTAGCTCTGCAGGATATTCGCTTTCATTGTTTGTGTCTTGCCTTACTTTCCACAGGAAGCACATTTGTTTAAAAAGATAGGCTTATATCTTGTCTCTGTACTTCACCAGCACTCAGAGCAAATAAAGAAGAGGGTGCCAGTGCTTTGCCTCCAGCTGTTGCTACTGAGCACAGCTGAAAAAATTAGGGTTAGTCCCCTGACAATTCTACGCTGTGGTCTCTAAGCACATTTTTGATAATGCAGTAGCAAGTGCCAGTGATTCGAAGGACTTTATGAAGAAAGCATGTCAGCTCTCATGTATCTCATGCAAAGTTGTTTGAACCCACAGCACTTTATGATATTGCAAGAAAAGCTTTGACTTTGCCAACTGGCAATGGCCATAAATAGGCTTAGGAATGTCTTTAAGCAAAGCCGCTTGGGTTAGAAGGGGCTAGTTAGAAATCAAACATTTTTATAGATTTTTTTTTCTTTTTAAAGAAAATCTTGCTTTCCTCCCATTGCTCCTGAACAACTGGAGAGTTTTACCAAAAAAAACTAAGCTTTCAGGTCCAACTGAACCAAAACTCTGGATTGAGGTCTTGATTTCACTGATGCAGACCTTAGCTGAACTGGGCATTTGGAGGCTTCTGAGCTCTTAATTTGGTTGCAGACCTTTCCCCAGACCAGCTCTGTGGTTTTCCCAGATTTGTAGTTTTCTTTGTCACAAGCAAACGTGCTCAGAAATTTCCTGCCACTTGAAACTTTGAAAATTCTGCTTGACATGGAAAGCTACCATGCTTTTTCCGAGCGTGATGGGATTTTTCCTGGAACAGAAGGAAATCCTAAGTTTTTATGGTTCTAATATTATACAGCACAATAGATAAGAGGTTGTTTTTCTTTAGCATTACAACTAACTACCATGACCTCAGTTAGAAGAACTTCTTGAGCCTTCTCTGTCTTACTGTAAAATGGTCAAAACCTTTGAGAGTTCTTCCAGCTTTGATGACTAAGTTAAATAACTTTGTTCCCTCGAGTAGAAATCTCTATATTAACTTTCCAACATGTAAGAACAGTACCACTCTACTCTTGAAAAGTTTTACCTTTTTAATGGAGTATAAATTTTGCTGCCTGTGAAGAGGTTCTTTGCTCATAAATTATAATTGATCCATAATACAACTACGAAATCGAAGTTGAATGGCAAACAGTATAGAGGGTTTTTTTAAACTCCCCCTTGTTTTATAATTGACTCGAAACATAAGAGGCATTGTTCTCCACAAAATAATTTATATAGTGGAAGACAATCTGCATTTTGCATCAGCTCCCCATTTGTCATAATGTTCTGTGCATTCTGTAATTACCAAAAAAATAAAGGAAGGCCTCTCCTGAATGAGGAAATGTAGCTGTAATTTATTTTAATAGCAGGCATTTAATTTTAATTCTATTTCTGTCAGGGGGAAAAAAAAAAAAAAAAGGTTTTAATGTGGACTTTCTTCCTGTCCTTGTACACAGGTGATACACTCTATTACCGATTTACTTCTGATATGAGTAACACTGAATGGGGTTACAAGTTTACAGTGACAGCAGGTCATCTTGGAAGGTTTCAGACTGGTAAGCACAGTTCATAATGTAGCTGAAAGGGCTTTTTGAGGTTATTTTGCTGGAGTTTTGACAGACTGATGAATGCCACTTTTAACTTTTGCTTAAGAATATACTTTTCTTGGTAGTCTGGAAAGATGTGATTCATCTTCATTCAAACTAGGTTTTGACTGATGTCTCTTACTTGCTGTGACTTTATGCTAATACCAAACCTTTACAGAGGTTTGGAGATAACTATTATAGTAAGGTTATTTGCATTCAAAGACTCATTATATGACAATAATTGTATATCTGATTTAGCAAACACTATGAGATTGTGATAATTAGAAACAGAACTAATTTTAATTGCATTTTTAAAAGTGGTTATTCACTAAAATAGCCTCTTTCTGGTTACAAAATGAATCGATTTATAAATTTATTTAAAAGTTTACGTAGTTTTAACGAAGTGAGGCTGGTGGATGATTTGCAATCAGTGAAAGCCTACTGCTTATCACTTAATAATGAGAGTCTGTTTTTCATTCTCCTTATTTGGCTAAATTATAAAAGAAAAGTATTTGGGCAATGCTTAATATATAGAGTAGATCTATGGGTGTATGAGCAGAATGGTTTCCTACAAAAGTAACAGCTGACTGAATTCACTTCCAGGGTTTGAAATCCTCAAGCAGATGCTGTCTGAGGAAAGGGTAGTTCCTCACCTCCCACTGGCCAAAATTTGGGAATGGCAGGTGGGGGTCGCGTGCCGCCAGACCGGGCACCAGCGTTTGAAGGCAATCCACTTGCTCTTGAAGATAGTGCAATGCAGCGCCCAGAGGTAACTGTTCTGTGTTGCACCTCAAAGGCAAAGGGCAAGAAAAGACAGAGACTAACTTAATAGGCTGAAAGCAGAGTTAAAGAAGGTGTCTTTAATTTGCCTTTCAGATTTTATTCATAGTGTCTTGATAGCAGGAATTTGTAACAAAGTTTTGTTATTTTTTTTCCCAAAATATACATTTTCTCTTCTTTTGAAAAGATTCTACAAACTCAAACAATTATTATAAGGGGAAAAAAAAATCATCCCAAAACAAGGGTATGTCAAACAGATTTGAAATTGGTTTTCCTTTAAGCATGGATATATATACCAATATATGGTATTTCCAACTTCCCCTCATTTCTTCATCATAAAAGATTTGCTTTATCCTGTGGACAACAAATTTAATTGCTAAAAGATGAAGTCTCCATTGTGCCTACAATATTTCATATTTCTCTTGTGTTTATCTTATAACAATTTCTGAAATCAAGTTTCCATTTTTGATGGTGCTCGCTTAGCTCTATTTGTCATCGTCTCTTGTATGATAAGTGATGTTTGGATTAGCTTTCTTTTCTTCAAGACTAGAAAGGAAGCAGATTTGAATTTATGGCTTTATCTTATAACGATTTCTGAAAGCAAGTTCCCATTTTTGATGGTGCTCGCTTAGCTCTATTTGTCATCCTCTCTTGTATGTTAAGTGATGCTTGGATTAGCTTTCTTTTCTTCAAGACTAGAAAGGAGGCAGACTTGAATTTATTTGAAAAGCTATTTTATATATATTTATATATTATATATAAATATATGTATATCAAATATATATATATATATATATATATATATATATAAAAAATTGTTGTCTATCCACCCTACTCAAGGGTATCAGCCACCCTATATTACAGTTGAATATTGTAAAATTTCAAGCAGTGGAGCCAGAGCATTTAACCATGTGATGTGTATGTAGTTATTTTCAACTCCTCAATTCAGCAGGCCATTCAGGTTAGAAAAGTAGTTCAGACATGTTCATAGATGCAGGATTTTGTCCATAGTCCTCATGTCTGTGGGCTTCGCTGATTAAGAATTAGATTAATTATATGCCAAAATACTTGGTTGAATTTAAGTGTTAAAAAGTTTCTTTTGTTTCGTATTTCATGCATACAGCTAAGTGTCAACATTATGTGTTTGCACTCGTTTTGGTTTGCTGTTTAATCCCCCAAACAGGTGTAAGAACGTGGTTACTCACTGTTTTCATTGAAATGACCTTTTTTAGGGACTGTGACCTTACCTTGTTGAAGCCACTTTGGCAGCTTTTCACCCATATGGAAAACAACTTGTGTCATGATGCGACCAAGCCTGGTATCCTCCTTCCTCTTCATCGTGCACTTGCAGAACTCTTCTTTGTTACGGAAAACAGAGTTACTGTAAGCAATTACTGCATCTGCATCCCCCCTTTCTGCAGTGTTGGGAATGTTCTGTAGTTCAGGGTCAGGCTGCAGGTTTCTTTATCTTGGCCCAATTAACAGCTTTCTCTTGTGGAGAGCAGTAGCAGATTCTAGTAGAGGAACATATGGTTTCTATATCCCTTGTGGGGCTTTTAGTAATCATGACTCTTCCTCATTTATCTGAGACAATAGGCCCTACACCCGCCCTTTATTCTGAAAGGAATGTGGATTTAATAATTAACTGAAAGCTATTAACATGTGCTTCCCTTTGAACTGATTTTGAATGCTACATCTGAAACGGTTTGTAACCGTTGTGTCAGTAACTGACACGTGTGGTCCTGAACTAGGCTGAGGTCTAGGGGTCTAGTTGTCATTCTTGTACCTTTGTTCTTATGGACTGCTACAGTGAACAGCATTTGGATGTTCACTCATAGGGTGGTGCCTTTGTTAGAGACTCTGTTTTTCATTCAGTATTTTCTGGCTGCAGGAGCTTGGATCTCTACAGGAGTATTTGCTTGCCTTAAATACTGAAGACCATCTTCATCGCTGCACAGCACAGGTAATGACAAAAACACACTACCCCAGAGGTGTGTGTCCTGGCACACAGAAATGACCAGTGACTTCTGATTGCCCAGGGGACTTCTATAAGATAGATGTGAATGTATCTAGACTTTATGATACCATGATGGGCTTCTGAATTTTTCTGTGACTGAACTATGCACAAATGCTTTAATAGTGAGGCGATGTGCCACTAATGGACTGTTGGGAAGTGATAACCAACTCATTCTAATACAGTAGGTTTATCCAGGTGTATCTATTTTAACTGTTTTTACCTGTCAATTGCTGCAACGCGGTGCTGGGGTAGGGGGAAGGCTGCTCAGCAACTGAAAACCCAGTTGCCTTGCTGAAGCTGCCTGTATGCACCACAGTTACAGCCCTGTCAGAAGATAGAACTGTAGAACAGGCTGGTTATTTCTCCGTTTCTGTTTAAATTCATGATTTCTTTACGAGTTCAGAGTGGGGAGAGACTTTGACATGATTTTTTTCTTTCTCTCTTCTAGGCCCTGAAAAACATTGCTGCTATCAGCCTTGCCATTAACTATCCAAACAAATCAACAAGTTTCTGGAATGTTTAATACTGGCTTAGGCCAGAGTGCATGGGATAGAGTAGTTTGTCCATAGGAATCTTGGAACAAACATCTTAACTCCGTTCAGGAAAAGTTCCTTCAGCTTCAGTGTATGAGCACTCTGCAGCCTTCCTTCCTTCCACCTTGATGTAGAATTTGTAAAAGTAAAAGCGCACTTCAAAGAAAAAGCACATCTTGAAGTACTCACGCGTCGCCTACAGTTATGTATGCACATATTGTAGCATGTTAGAGTAAACAGAACAATATTTTTTTTATTCAAAGGAAGTAAACGAAAGAAGGTATCTGAAGTATGAGAATGGAAGGCCCCATGTTGGTATCATCTGCTCCTAAGGAAACTTGATTGATGGAACACGAGAGCTTTGAAAGTTTGCTGAACTTGGGGTGATGCCATCAGCAGAATCCATATGTCACTGGAAGTGAAGTAGGCAAGCCAGAGTCTGGTAGGCTGATGCAGAAATGGTCCATACTTGAATCCTGTCATGTTTCCTTTTGCTTTGAAGGCATGGAGAAGCCATGGAAAAGAACTTCAACTAAATATTATTAAACTACAGGTTGTAAAATAAATTCTGGGTGATTCACAGTTAAAGGATTCCAGTTTCAGAGCATCCTCATACAAGAGGTTAATGTTTCTCCCATTCTTTGATTGCCTACTTTTACCTTAATTGATCTTCAGTGTATTATTCTAAATAGTACATTATTCTCTACAGAAAGGGCAATGGCTAGCTTCTGTTCACAGAGCAGTGGTGATATGAAGAACTGAGAAACTTATATGTTTCTCAAAGATCACATTTTCACAAGTTTTTTTTTTTTTTTAATTCTTTGGTACTGGTGGGAATGTTGGACACCCTGACTCCCAGCAGTTAGGGTGCAAGTTAATGATTAATCTAGTCTATCTTACAGAGCAATAACTGCATTACTCTCAATGAACATGGAATGAATTGCAGACCTTCTATGTTGAAATAAATCGGCTTTCTTTCTGTCCAACTATGCTGTTTATTCCCTTTTCAAAGAACTAAAGAGAACGTAGAAGGATTTGGCAGGGGAAGCGGGGCTGTTTTGTATACTCTTACACAGTACGTACAACTGGTCTTGTCATGTATGAATTCGGAGAATAAGTTTTATGCTTAATTATTTTCTTTTTCCTTTTCGTTGCCTCTACATAAGAATGAAAATGCAACCAAAAACGAGTGGAGTCTTGGTAACTGAATGCAAACGATGTAAAGGCAGTGGCTGTGTTTGCAAGGGAATAAATTTGGCCTTTCTTGTCCCAAAGGCAAGTGGTGCCTAAATAACCTTGTGCAAGTAGGAGAGCTGCTTGCAGGGATGCCCCCGGGCGTGACGGTCTGTCCATCATCCGGGGCTGGAAATGCTGGAAGGGCGATGCCGTGTCCCTGGGAGAGGGAAGCCCGCAGTGGGCATGGCCTTGCTCTGCACGCTCCCTGGGGCTGCAGTCTGGGAAGCTGTGACTTGTGACTCCAGATGAGTGTAAAGCAATGCTGCTTCTCCAGGGGATGCGGTTCAATGAGAATATGATTGAAGCTTTTCAATGTGAAGACCAGGCAAAACTATGCTGAAACCACTGCCTTCAGCCTGAAACCTATGAAACCTATGAAACTATGCTGAAACCACTGCCTTCAGCAAACGAGTAACCCTTTTAGCAAACGAGAATGCCAGAATTCAGGAAAAAAAATATATTTTATGCTATTTATCTAAGACTGAGAGGAGGCAGAGAAACACTGCTGTGAAAACCCTCCTCCAGTACACTGCAAGCGAAGGTTAAAGCCCTCCCCCTTTCTGGAATAAGATCATGATGGGGAAGGAATTGTCAGAGTTGTGGCACGTCTTTTAACCCCTGGATCACTTTGTTCCCACCTCTGAGTAATGCAGTTGGGTTGGCAGTGTCGCTGCGAGGGTGGCTGAGGTCCCTGAGGACGTCCCGGCAGGGCGATGGGCAGCGGCGGCACCGCACGAGGCGCTCGCGGGTCCGTTTGGGAGCTGGACGGATGGGCCAGGCGGACGCTTGGAAGTTGCTCTTCTCGAGCGTTTTTTTCTTTTTTTCACATCAGGGATGAAAACTGTAAATAAACCATTCACAGAACTTAGCGTGGCTCTATCGTACTCACATTTTGCTTTTCTGTTGGACTGTCCCTTTGCTTAAATTGCTTCTTCATACGCAGAAGTATGAAGCTGCAAGGATGACGCAGTGGCCAGTGGTCCTTACCAGGCATAGCCCCTGCCAGCTGTACCAGCGTGCTGGCCCCGTGCCACGGTCATCCTGCCCTCAAGGGGCTCTTTAGGGACTTTGTCCACTACAAATTATTTCTACCCACTAGATGGAACTGAAGGACTGTGACCCGAGCTGACACTGCATCTCTTGCTGCCTTACAACTCAATCACTGGGGGCTTTTAACAGACCAGAAATGCTGATTTGGTTTTTTTTCTGATTATTTTAAAGAAAGGGGAAGAGATAGTAATAATGAATATTCACGATCAATCAGATTTTGAATATCTGGCAGCAGTTCCAAGTAGATGCAGATGATATTGTTGAATACTATAAAACTGTCTGGAAAAGAGGTATGCTGAAAAAAATGTGCCTAATATAAAAATAGTTATTTCCTGCCTGAATCACCTATGATGTGTTTAAGACAAACCATATTGTTCCTAATGATACATTTGACATGCTTTCATTAAACACTTAAAAGAAAAAAAAAAGTTTTATAATTTCTTTTCTTACGGGTTTACTACTTTGCAATTTTTATCAGTTGTTTAAAATATATCAAATCTTTCGATTTATTCCAGTTCAGTTCAACATGTAAAAAGAAAGCTAAAGATGTGGGTTAAATATGCAAATGAAGAGAAATATATTGTAAAAATTCTATAAAAAAAAAAAAGTACAACAAAGTGTCTGTTCTTGTTTTTTTTCCTCTCCTCACTGAATGTTAAATGCTCGAGTTTGCAGTGAGATTTAAGAGTTTTCTTACAAGCCTTTATTTGTCCATGACTGTAACTAAAGCTGCTTGTTCTCGTGTGGTTTATGTTTGGTGTTGTGTCACCCTTTCCAGGATGCCACCGGAGGCTTCTTTTAAAGCCCTGGCTTGCTCTTCAGGGCCTAGATTTGCTCATCTACATTTAAGAAACCTCACTTGTAAGAGACTGGGTCCCTTCGAAGAGTGACATTGGCCGCAGGAGTGTGGTGTCCAGCTTGGCTAGGGTAAGCATAGGAGGCTAGTTGGATCTTTCTGATGTGACGTTTCCAAAAGGTGTCACGATTTTTTGTACAATTCTTTGCAAATGGTGGGGTATCATCCATCTTTCTGCACCTCTTAAAAACCTGGAGTAACTGTCCGCTAATCTGCAGCAGTCTCCTGCTATAAAATCAGGCATGTTGGAGTAAAATGAAACCCGGTAATCCAATTCTGCATTTTCTTTCCCCTTCCTAATAATGAACATTGTGTTTCTTGCAAGAAAACTGAGTTGTGCTGCCTGCTCAGAAGTGAGCAGTGCCACATACCTTCCAAGGAAGCTACTGGACCGAACAGGAACTGTGCTTAGCTTGGTAGTTAGAAACAGAAATTTGCCCTGCCTCTGATTTTAAAGCATAGAAGCAATTTCTAATTCAAGCAAATTGGAGAAATCCACTGTGAATAAGGAAGGAATTAAGTAAGAGGCGAAGGAAATGAGATTAATGCTCATTCTTTCCATGACAGTCAGGTCAATTTAATCAGGTCCATTTTGCAATAATCTTTCCTGATTTTTACCTAAGGATTTTACCTAATAAAAAGCTGCTACTGAACTCAAAGCCAAGCTGCAGTATTGCAGCAGCACTCCTCTAAGTGGGTATGCAAGCTAAGAAGGAACAAAACAAAACCAAAACCTCATTCCTTCCAACCAGAAACGTCAACATGCATTCCTGACGAATAGATGGAAATCTCAGAGTTTTATAATTGTCCTCAGCAGTTACAGCTGAGTCTGTTTTGGATTTAGGGAACAGATTAAACGAAGTAGCAAACAGACAGGCTGCAATAAGGCAAGGTTGTGCAGTTTGCCAGGATGTGGGATTCCCCAGGAAGTGCTGGGAGAGCCCTCAAGGTCAGAAGCCCTTTCTTGCCATCGCTGGTACCGGCCCGGCCGTGTCCTGCAGCTCCTCCTGGCACAGACAGCAGGAGCTCGTCCTCACTTGGCCTTGACAAGCGTCTGGGAGTGCAGCTTTCAAACAGTTGTGTTAAATTAAGCAACTCTTTTTCTGGGTTCAGGGACTGTCTTGAAGACAGGGTAGTTTGTAGTCTGTTGGGGGGGCGGTTCTCCTGCTAATGCTTTTCTTGACAACTTTAATGTATTTTTTTAATCTGATTTCTTCCTTCCGTTCGCCATTTTACTATCTGACCACACATAAATATTTTGGTCAACATTGGTGACCCCTGTGATAGGAAGGCTCCAAAATGCATATGAACAGAGCCATTTACCAGGGCCTCAGCCCTGACTGGGCTTAGTTTAGACTAAATTAAACATGTAATTATGGAGTAATCTTAAGCATGAATAGTTAAGTGCATGCTTAAGTGTTTAAAAACAGACCTTAAACTAGTGTTGTTGCCTTGGAGCCTAAACAGAGCACACTTGCTACTAAGTACACAAATGGCATGGCTTGCTCCTGCATTCAGCAAAACCTGCAAAAGAGGAGAAAAAAAAAAAAAAAGGTAAATTCTTGAGTCAGGAGAAGTGTTGAGTCAGGAGACCTTTCGTCTCATCCGCCTGCTTAAGTCTAAGTCATGTCTGCCTTTCTTACCCTTCTCCTTTACATAAGCCACCCACCGCAAATTCGTTAATCAAGAATGTCAAGGGCTTTACAGAAATCCCCCCTGCCGTGGTTTTTATGTTCCTCTAAGTAGCCGGCTAAGCTCTTTTTCTCCCGCATGTTCGCACCATTCTATTGTTTTTTAATATATTTTTGCTTCTTCATGATGTGAGTGTTAATGTTTAGAGAGAAAAGAAGCGTGTTTCGTGCTGCCTGGAGTCAGGACTGGAGGCACTGCTGGGTTTTAGATGTTGGCCTTCACTATAGCTCAGCAACTCCGCGCGTCCTCACGCTGCTCTGCAGATCTGTCCCTTTCTCCATTGGTTTCCCAACCTCTAACTGTGCTAGGCCTGGTCTTTGGCACTTGATTTGTTGCTAGGGATGTCTCGGCCTCCTCCAAAATGATGCATTTTTGCCCCCTTCTCTTTTTTACCCCTGAGGCTCCTTCGTACCCTCTGGCAAGGGTGGGGGACACAGGGTGTCCTGGTGGGTGACCGTGGCCACCCTTTGTGGTGGGTTGGCTCTGCAGTGCCTGTGCCCGGCGCTTCCCAGCCCCTTTCTTCCAACATCCTCCTCCAGGCAGCGGGAACAGGGTGTCCTGCCGCAGCAGCTGCCGGCGCCTCTTCTCCAATGGCAAGGGCTTTTTCTGCTTCCAACACTGCTGGGGAGCTGCAACACCCCATTCTGCCATATTTCAGCCCAGAACGAGTGAGAAGTTGTGAAGAAGATGGGGAAAACAGGCTGGCGGAGGAAGGCCTGGGCAGGCGCGGGAGCCCGCAGGCTGCTCCGTCACCATGGCACCCTGGCCTACCGCACCTCAGTTTGTTTTTCCAGTTTGTTTTTCCTC